TATTAACTGCAGGCAAATCATTTTTATTGGCTGCTCAAAAATCTAATTTGCATAATTTATTCACACAATTGCTGGTTCTTACTACTGATGTCTAATACTGCGCATTGTCCATTTTAATTGTTCCTAATTTGCACCAAATGCTCCTGTCACACTGTGTACTGACGATTTTTATTGCTCCTTGTATGCCTCTGTGCCGACAGACCTTTTGATCATGCACAATGTTGCCCTGATTGGTTAATCACCCTTGTCAAATATTCTAATGACGAAATAGACATCTATTTTTTTACGCTTCATCAGTGAACTGAATGACCATAGGGGGTTGTCAAATTATACTGTAGTAAATTACAGCACGTCATAAAATAGCAACACATTTTTTTCAGTTACCAATAATCATTTTAAATATTAAGTAGATTTATGATTTTTTGTTTTATTGGATTAAATTTACGGTAGTAGAAATGCGTATCTGTCGGGGAAAGGAATTTGGTAAGTAGATAACGTGGAAAAAAGCTTTAGGGAACTGGATAAACCCGAGAATATGCGTTATTATAGGGGAATGGGCAACCTGTTGCTGTTGGTACCAGTTTTGACTGGGTGCCTAAATAACCTAACGGACAGTTTTGTTTTCATACGATATTAGTCTGGCTGCCGATTTTCCTGCGCCTTTCTCATTTTTAGCGTCAATGGCGGAAAATCGCGTCCTCAGCATATTGGATTTAGTTGATATTTTACCTGAAAAAAAGATACATGACCGGCGATGTATACCCTAGCGAAAATTAAGTACAAAATAAAAGGATATTATCTTTGAAAATTAAGCAGTCATTGCTTAAATCATGTGGTGGGATCATCAGCAAGCTTGAATATCGGACAAATGATAATTAATGTCGCGGCGTCTTCAATTAATTAATTAAAGCAATTCAGTTCCATATGATGTTTTCATAAATAATATATAATGTACGCAATAAAATTAATAAGTTCTTCATCAAGATATATTTCAGTTGTACCAGCATGTACACCTATACCGGAAGTGGGTATAACACGTCACAATCTCGGTCTCGTCTGTCTCGCGAGAATGACAGAACGCCAAAATGGCGGCGCCCATGAACTTATTTCTCAAGTAAAAAATAGTGTCTTAAAACACGAATTTCTCTCTTATAGGGTTGATGTCAATAGGAAAACTGTCATGGTTCCTCTTTTTAAATGATGAATATTTATATTAGACAGACATCAATCCATCCATTCCTATTCCTTTAAGTTTCCAAAAATATTCATTTTCAAGATTGATGTTGAATGTAAAACATCAGAGGGCCAAAATTCATTGAAAATCTACGCTTGGACAGTGACCTACAATTTTGTGAGGATGTGTTCCTAGTTTCCATAAATACTTACAGTAGTTTTGAAGATTGATGTTTAAAAGCTTGATTTTCTATATTTATAAGCGTCATAATTCTGTCAAAATCTATGTGAGAGTTATTGGCCTTACACAAGGTTCTCCAATTACACACAAGTTCTTAAAGACATATGTAAAGCAATTACTATGATTAGTTGCTGAGATATGATGTGGCATGTAAACTTTATTACACTGTTGTTGCTTACTTTACAAGAAATATTGAATGATGAGGTCATTATATCAGTATATAGAATGAAGCTTAACATTGCAACATCGGTCAGTGCCAAGCCCTTCTCACCCGCACATCCACACCCAGGGCAGCTAGCTAACATTAAGTTCCAAAATTTGGAAGTCAGAGACTGCAAAATGTCTGACACTGGAAGTGACATTATATAGATAGAGAAGGAAAAGCATTACAATTTGGTAGTCACAAACTAAAATCTCACAGTAAATGACTCTTTAACTTCCATTGATGGAAGACCTGCCCACACCCACACCAAACCTTTATTTAAAAAGAAAACAACAAACAAACAAACAAAAAAACACAAGAAAAACCCAATATCAATAACAGGCTGTTTCCAGGAGCATGCTTTTTTGAAATAGTTATTTTGCTCTATCCGAAATGTCAAACTAACTTTGCTATCATTAAATCATAATATTTCAATTAACTAAAACAACACTCAACAAACTGATTTAGGACTGTTACATACTGTAAATCATTTTTCCGATTAAATTTTCATGAAAATACAACAATAATTAGGAAATAAATTATGATATTCTTAACTCCAGCTTGTTAATTAATCTAATATAACAGAACCATGGCTCGGAAAACATGATCATATTTTTTCTACCCTTTATCAAACATTTCAACACAACTGTAAAAAATTATGGCTCATTTGCATTTCAAGCTCGTCTAAAAATAGAACAGTGCGCCAATTTAGTATCTTTATAACCAAAATACGCTAGATAATTACACTTGTTAAGGAACTTTTGTTTTCCTACTAAAATTACCAAACTTTATTCACAAACCATTATAAATCAATGGATGACATTTTCAACACAAAAAGTTCTTTTAGTGATATTGATATGACTTTTCTGAGATATTTATATCAGGCCTAAAAATACACTTACAATACTTCCATTTCGAGCTCCCCTAACTACCATCTGTAACTGCCAAAACTAGACATTTTAATTACAGTTTTTTTTTTAAAGGCGCTCCACTGAGGTCTCAAAGGTTTAAAATAATATTTATATAAAAATCTTTAATAGATCGAATGGGGCCCTTGAAAATGAAAATATGGAAAGATGATATAGAAATATACTCAGAAATAAATTGAAAGCCAACATTTAGTGTGATTCTTTGCCTGGTGTGAGTTTAAAGTATCTGAACATTTTTTGTTTGTCAGTCATTTTGTACAATTAAAAATATAATTCTGTAAAAATTCAAGTGAGCAAATGATTTGAAATTTTGCACTCAAGTTATTGGTATGGACCAAAATCAAATGGTAAAAAAAAAAAATGTAAAAAAATATTACCAGTCCTGTCATGCAAGGAATCTAGAAACCTCAGGAGTGCCATTAAACATTCTTTTCATTATAATATATGTTAGCCCAACAAAATGTGTGCTTTTGGGCTTTTTATTATATAGACGATAGTCGCCCTTCTATGAAATATCAGATTATAAAATCGGTCGGTCTTGCAGTCGAAATATTGAGACTTAATATATGTATACAATTACCAGTATATAAAGACAATGTACATAAAAAGCAATTCCAGCCTACCTACTGATTACCTACTGATAACTCGCCTATCTGTGTATGTTTTGGGAGAGGGGGAGAGAAAGAGGGGTGTGGAGTCTATATTCTAGAAAAAGTACTGCATAAGTTCTTGAAAAAGAAGTTCTCATCCTAACTTCTTTGTGTGTGTAAGGGGGGAAAAGGGGGGGGGGGAGGAGTTTGTAGACTTAAAACAGAACTGCCTTAATAATGAATATCAAAGTATTATAATACATACAGTAACTTTTTTGAAAAGGAAAAAGAAGTCATCATAAGTTCTTTGCGTGATTATAGATTATTTTCTTGCTCTATTAAGTCAGCAAACATAATTATAACATATCAAATTGAGATCTCAGTATGACACAATTCAACAGACAATCAAGTATATTCGTATAGAAAAGAAATCCCAAGATCGAAGTACTCAAGTTAGTTCTTTTGCAGTCGTTCAGTGCTTTTATTGAGACAGTAGGTAAATGTCATATTTCTGAAAATTACTTTGGACAGTAACTTAATAAAAATGTTAAAAGCACTTCATAAAAGGAATCTTAAAAGCATTTTGTGCCGCAAGTTTGACATTTAAAATATGTCATATTATGAACAATATAATAGAGCACTCCATTTTTCAATGGATTCATTTGATTTGTTTTAAAGGACTCCTACGAGTGAAGCTGAAATTACAGTCAAACCTCAACATAAAGACCAGTATTGGAAATGTAAAAATGTATTGCCCACACTCGTGGCTGCTCTCTCAAACCGGTAGTGTTTTATGATATAAAATACAAAATAACGAAACAAAATGTTAGCTTTTCGTTATAATGTTTTTGTATGACTGTCATCTTAGATTATAGGTGGTCTTTAAATTATAGGTGGTCTTTAAATCATAGGTGGTCTTTAAATTATAGGTGGTCTTTATATTATAGGTGGTCTTTAAATGCCGAACTTGAGAAGTTCTACACTTATATTCAGGTCATTTGAGTTTACTACGTCATTGCAAAAAAAAAATTCCATTGTAAATTTGCTCTACCCACTTCTATTTATAGGTGCATTCCTCCAGATATCAACCAAAATATTTCAAGAAAATCAAACTTGAGAAAATGTACTAAGATTTATAGAAAAGTAAAAAGACTGAAGATTCACAATAATAATTTGCATGTTGTGTGTGATTAATGACTGATTTTGCTGTATTTAATTACCATTTTATTAGTGGGTTACTAATGCAGTTAGGACTTTTTTTTTGCATATTTTGACCTCTTTTGGTAATTTATGTGGATTTTAAGCGCCATATGCAATGTCAAAATTACTTTCTTTGTTCCATTTGAAATATTACACTTTTGAATACATTTTCAAAATTTACATGAAAACATTTAGCATGAATCTGGGGCCATGCTGCTTTAAAGGAAAGCCCTATATATGAAAGTATTGTATAGATTTCATGTTGTTAAGCCTGTCTACTTTGTATACACTTTCATGTATCTATAACAGAGGAATGCGTAAATAATGCGCATGAAAGTTGGCCATTTGATAAAAATCTAGGCTTCAATAACAAGATTGGTAACAACAATGAATGTGCAAGATGTACCCTTTAGACAGCTAAAAGGTTGTCTTACTAAAGGATATAGTATGAGAAACTGTTAATACCAAGGTCTATATAAAGTACCAATTAACCAAATATCTAAGACATATCATATCAGTCACTTAAGGTGTTAAGTTAAATGCTTCAGTAAGTGTAACAAAAGGGATGACAAAAAATGGTTACTAAAGCTCCACTGAAAAATTTCATGAAGCAAACAAGAAGTAATCGTGTGCGGAAAAATTACGTCAAAAATGCGTTACTTTACCTGATTTGTCTGGCCTGCTTTTCTTTGTTTTGTCATCTGAAGGGTATTTGCCAGTATCATTGAGTTTTATTCTTTTTCCACCACTAGGTATGCTAACTTCACGAGATCTTTTAACACCTGCGTCGTTAGAGCCAGTTGGTGTCTTAGATGATGTTTTCTTGGTTTTTGCAACACCAAGTCTTTCATACACAGATTTTGTTTTCTTTGTTGATTTTTGTTCTGTAATAATTTTTAAATTCATAAATTTCATAACATATACTCAACTAGATAAAAAAAAAATCTTTGTCTTCATTTCATCTAGGACATGGATCTCCCATATTAGATATGTGCTCTCATGCATGCACAGTGTGTTAAAGATCAACTTAATTAAAAACTTAGAGAGGAAAGTTACCTTACAAATACTTTAGAACTGTTAAAAAACAGTTAAATGCTTAAATTTAACTTTGATCAAGCTTTTGAACAGGTATTTTGAAATTGTCTAATGTTACCGAGATGAACACAAACCAAAATTTCCTTATTCAAATTACATTTTAATATAAACTGCTTCAAGAAAATGGCAACTTTATCAAATATAATTCAAAACCATGGAATCTTAATTTCATATCAAAGTGGTCTATAATGATGGTGCTGTATTCAATCCTCGATAAGAGAAATTGCAGCGCCATCATCTTCTAAACACGACTTCGTGATGAAATAAGATATGAAATAAATACTTCAGAAATGCCGTATCTTAAAATTATGTAATATATACTTTGAATCATGTAAGATGATAAATTTCAACTCTAATCAGCAAAAAAACCTTTTTCCACTTACAGAAACGTTTTGCTATGGTTTATGACATATTTGTATCCTTGTTGAAAAAAAGCTACTGTAACAATATTTTGCTACAGTCACACTATTTTAATTTGTTTAAGATATTTTCTTTAAGTTCATTTAGAAGAACATTATTTGAGCCGCATTTAAAATTATTTGATTAAGTTTATTTATAAGAAAATTATTTGAGTCGCATTATTATATAGCTAGCTCTTGTTTTGTAATAATACATGCATTTTGCTGAAATCTATACCAGTAAAATTCATGTGTTTCCTATAGCAACAGCTAACTTGTTCATATTAATCTATTGTATCAAAATTGGAAACTTCATGTCATTACTACAACATAATTTGACATAAATGGAATGAATTGTAACATGAAATTAAATCATCTTTGGGATAAAAAAAGGTCTATATGCCTAATTATCTGCTTATTCTATTGACTAAGAGAGTTGATGTAGATAAGTAAGTAAATTACAGGACATACCATCATTAAATGTAACATTTACAACTTGTTGCAAGGAGGTGTCATCCTCATCAGAGCTACTCCATTTCTTCCTCTTTTTCACCTTCTTCTTCCTAGATTTTGTACTTGACACATCCTCCTCATCACTAGATTTATCCACATGTATAATGAGACTTTCCTTCCTTGACAACTTCTTCTGAACATTTCTATCCTTGTCGGATTTTGGTTTTGAGACATTGATATCAAGTAAACTGGGAATTCCCTCACTATGTTTAGTTCTTTCATTTTTCACTACACTTATCAGACCCCCTTTTCTAACACCAGAATCACTGTCTGAACTTTCCTCCTCAAACTGTTTCCGAACTGCATTTTTCTCCTCATAAAATACCGTATTTTTCTTTTGATACTGTCTATGTCTCTCACTGTCTCCCTGCTTCTTATCTCTGTAGTCTTCCTTTCTAAAACTTTGTCGTTCATGAAATTCGGAACCATACTTTGTACCCTTTGAATCTCTTTCCTTATATCTTGCTCTCTGATTACCATCACCATCTCCGCCTCCTCTTTCATGTCTTTTCTCTCCTTTGTTCCTTTCCATTTCTCTTCTCTTCTCCCTCTCTTTCAGTTCTCTTCGTCTTCGTTCCATCTCTATATCAGCTGTTTTCCTTGATGCACCATGTTTCTTATCCCTCCATGTTTCAGTTTCTGAATCACTAGTTACATCACTTAGACTAGAAACACTCTTATCACTGTCTGAATCTGAACCCAATTTTTCTGTTACACTGGCTATTCTTTTTAGCCTGTCTTCTATACTCCTCCTTTTAGATTTTTGTTCTTCCTTCCTATTTTGTTCTTTAGATTTTCCTTCCATACTTTTACGCCTGAACTTTTCATCTGATTTTCGCCTTTCTTTACTTTTAAGATGCAGTGATTCCTTTGAACTGCTTTGTGACTTTTTTGCATTTCCTGATACTATAAGTGAATCACTTTTACTATATTTTGCATTTGTATCTCTTTTATCTGTCTTTTCTGACGATCTGACTTTATCACTTTTTCTTTCAATGGAATGGGCCCTATGTTGTTTACTTTCACTTTTACTGTGCTTCAACCTGGAAGAAACTTCACTGCCTTCGTTGTCATTATACTTTTTAGACACGTGTGCATCCTCATATTTTAATCTTCCTATTTCTTCAAAGTACCTTTTGTCATGGTCCTTTTCCTTGTGCTTCTTTACAGGTGTTTTTTCCATGTTATCTCTTGACTTAATTCTATCATTTCGTTCTATGTTTTCTTTAGATTTACCCTTATCTACCTTAGTATGTTCTCTACTATTATAGTTTTTCCTATCAAATTCACTACTGCTTTTACTTTGTTTTCCTTTTTTACCATTTCTCTGATATGAAGATGCATCTCTGTAGTTTGTTGCATCGAATTCTGGATCAGCTTTCACATCATTTGATGCCAGTCTGTCTTTCACTGGTCTTCTATGCTGCATGTAAGATAATTGCTCTTTGTTAGAACTTCTTTCAGAACTTTTTAAATCCCTTCTGTCTCTGTCCTTTATGTTATAATCTCTTTTATTCCTTTCAGATGTGGGATATTTCTCATTCTTTGCATCTCTGTGACTTCTATCTAACATTTTATCATTTGACACTTTTTCAGATTCACTACTTAAGTTTGATTTTCTTTTACTCTCAACTGGAGATTTTGATTTACTTTTAACAATTTTAGATTCTCTTCTTTGAAGTTTTTGTTTTAATCTTCTAGATGAAGTGGCTGATAAATCATTGTCTGAAGCAGATGATGGTGGTGATGATGATGATGATGAAGATTCAGATTCTGAATCAGATGATGATGATGATGATGCTGATGATGATGACACTTCTGATGATTTAGATGATTTTAATGATTGCAAAGATGATTTTCTATCCTGAGGTGATTGAGATATCTTGGCAGAATTTGTCTGTTGAGGTTTTGGAGTTTCTTTCTCCAATTCATTTATACTATCAACAATACTTTCACTACAAGCACTTTCATTACCAGATTCTGACTGAGATCTTGTACTTTCCCTACTTACAGAACTCTCTCTGCTACTTGGTTCATTTTTCTGACAAATATCAGACTCTTCTCCAGATTCCTCAGCAGAATCAGAATCTCTATTTCTTCTATTGAATCTGCTAAAAGTACTGTAAGAAATGCTGTCATCTTGTCTTAATTCATCTCTCAAAGGAGTTTGTTCATCTCTTAATGGTGTATTATCAGATTCTAACTCTTGGTCACCAAGTCCATCCAAAAGTTTATTTTGTATCAGTATAATACTATCTTTAACTGCATTACCATCAGCATATCCCAGTTGTTTTGTTTCTTCATTTACAGTTGGACCTTCACAATTAACCGGATTACTCTTTGTCTCTGCAGAAGTTGTGTCTAGATTAATAGACACATTTATATCAGAAGTAACCTCATCAATAGTTATATTCTGAGACATATCTACAGCACTTTCATCTGCATCCATTAAGTCTAAATCTTTTTCACACACTTCTGCAGAATCATTTGCATCTTGTGCATTGTAGTGTACTTCTACCTCATTAACATGTCCATGAAGTTCATCATCATTGTCATTGTGGTGAGTATGAATTTCTACTTCAGTGTCACTACTCACATCTTCTAATGACATGTTTGCTGGGTTGGTAGATTCAGATTTTCTTCTTCGTCTTCCAACAATTTCATCATCATCTTCACTGTCAGATTCGTCATTGTAGCGACTGAACTTGGATTTCTCTGAAATAATATTAACACTGTCTATTTTAGATATATTCTCTGTTATATATAAGACATTCCACTTAAGACGTGGTCCAAAACTAGCAATGGAGTCATTAACATTTTGAACAAACAAATCAAGGTTTTGTCATTCACATTCAATACTTGGCCCTTAGGCCAACATTTTTTTATTAAATGTTTTACGGGATATTTTTTTTTAAAATTGGGTCGGGGGGGATAAATAAAAATAAAAATAAAATTCAATTTTTTTATCAGTCGACCACAAAATAAAAATAAAATGATAAAAGAGGTTAAAAAATTATATTTTCAAACATTTTTTTAAGACTCCAAAAACAGATTTTTTGTAAATAAAATCAATGATTTTATAGTTTTGAAGTATTTTTGACATAATTTTAAACAAAATAATTGAAAAAAAAATGTTTTAAGTCACTTTTGCTTTTGTTTTTAGTAGCTATTAAATGCTGATCTAGTTTCTATTAGTTTTGTCTTTTCACGTTTAGGGCAAACATGCCACACAACTCCAAATTCATTGTTTAGTCCCTTCATTTCAAGAGTATCCAAACAATGTCGTATTGCCACTCTCAAGCTTTACTGTCACACAAGCTTGCAACCAGGTAGAACCACCTACCTATCATAAGCTTACCGATAGTTTCCTCACGGGAATCCAAATTAACTTCCTGACAGGATTCTAATCCACAACACCACAAAGGGAGAGTGATTCATTCACAGAGGTACAAACATAATAATGTACAATGTCAGTTTCACAAGGTAAATTGAATCAACAACTTCAAAAATTATCTTTAAGAGAGTAAGTTCTGTATGTGCAAAAAAATTGCAATTTCTGAAAATTATTCATATTTTCAAATAATTAGTAAAATGAAAAGCAATTGACAGTAAATAGAAAATCAAATGGCATACATTGTTACAAATCAGGAGTTTTCTGTTGAGAATTTATTATAGGCAGTTTTACAGAAATGTCAATTTAGAGGACTTAATGCTCATAGTCATAATCTTACATTGAAAAAAGACCAATTTCCTCAATATTGATCTAGTAAAAAACTTCTAAAAATACACATTACTACCTGTCATGATACTAATATTAACTTAATAAATGTTATAGATGACTGTGTTCAATCACAGATACACATACACTATTCAACTCCGTGGTTCAATTATAAAGAAGCCTTGTATTTCAACAAGACAACAACAAATATCTGCCCACCAAACAACTTTCAGGAATTTATTGTTTTCGTATAATAAATTATTCAATTGTTTTCAATGATTCATGATAAAAAGTTTTCACTATCAATTTACTTACCAATTAACTTTTAATTTTGACAGAAGTGGGTAAGAGAGGTCGGCGGGCAAAATGAAAATAAAAGTTCTTATATTTACTTTTATTTTTATTTGATTTTCTCTAAAAATACGGTCGGCGGTCCCGTAAAACATTTTATAAAAAAATGTTGGCCTTAATAGTAGAATCATCTACATTTTAAAAGGTAACATCTATGATTTGTCGGTTTATACACCAAGAGCACCGCATGCAGCATTATAGCTCAACTGTAAAAAGGCAAAAAATTAAAGAGTTAAAAAGGGGCATAACTCAAAAAGTTATTGCTTTCAAAACTAAGCTCCTCCTTGCCATGATAAGCAAGTATACCAAGTTTCATGCTGATACCTTGTTAATTTGTTTTAATAATGGGCTACAATCATGTTTTCGCATGATGATGACGCCACAGCAATCATAATAGCAAAGGCTAATCACTTTTGGTGGCATATACTAATCCAATTGGGTGGCAAAGGCTAACCACTTTTAGAGGCAAAGACTAATCACTTTTGGTGGCAAAGACTAATCATTTTTGGTGGCAAAGACTTATCATTTTTGGTGGCAAAGACTAATCACATTTGGTGGCAAAGACTAATCACATTTGGTGGCAAAGACTTATCATTTTTGGTGGCAAAGACTAATCACTTTTAGTGGCAAAGACTAATCACATTTGGTGGCAAAGACATATCACTTTTGGTGGCAAAGACTAATCACATTTGGTGGCAAAGACTTATCACTTTTGGTGGCAAAGACTAATCACATTTGGTGGCAAAGACTAATCAATTTTGGTGGCAAAAACTAATCACATTTGGTGACAAAAACTAATTACTTTAAGTGGCAAAGACTAATCACATTTGGTGGCAAAAACTAATAGTTTTTAGTGGCAAAGACTAATCACATTTGGTGGCAAAAACTAATAGTTTTTAGTGGCAAAAACTAATAACTTTTAGTGGCAAAAACTAATCAATTTTGATGGCAAAAACTAATCACATTTGGTGGCAAAAACCAATTACTTTAAGTGGCAAGACTAATCACTTTTGGTTTTTATCAGGTTAAGGGCTAAGAATCTTTGTTTGTTTTGACCCAATCACTATCAGAGGCTAACGCTGCAATTTATCTTTCAGTTGGAGAAAAAACAAACAATATATTCTACAATATTCATAATTAATTACATAACTTTAGCGTTGAGCAATGACAAACCTTAGGGGTGTTCAAGTGAATTTGAATTTCAAAATAAAACAACTGAGCAATATCTTTCAGCCCAACACCTGTACCTACTTCAGTATTAAGTCAGTAATAGATAATATTATTCATCAGTCAATACAATGTCATAAAAAAATAAAACCTCATCAATTTCTTCAAAAAGGCCCAGACATCACGTACGATCATTAACAAAGCGTGATCATTACCTTGATTTAATATCAATGTCAATATGCCATCTTAAAACTGATAACAAATATTGAGAAAAAACAACTGGTTAATGTCAGATCAGACTGCTGCGTACTTGTGGTGTACAAGTACGCAATACAACAACAGAACTTTGTCTTTCTATTATTCAAACAGATGGCAATAATGGAAAAAAACACATTAAGTATAACAATATAAGACGGTTTCGAGTTAAAGATGGAATTAACCTTGATATTTAAGATGTTCATATTTAAAAGTACACCATTAATTCTCAATAAGCCGAATTTCTTAGACCTCGGACAAATTAATCCTATCAAAGTAACCGACAAAGTATCAGATTTCTTAATTTCAATCTTCACAGTTTTAATGAGACATTTCAGCTAATAACTTACATTAATGTCTACATCATTCCTCAAACCAGAAGTTTCAGACATTTTAACCTTGTAATAGATCTTAGTTTCCTAATGGTTTGTTTTCTTCTTTCAAAATTGATTTTTATGTGGTACTTCAGAGTGTTCTTGTGGTACAAACAAACTTGAAAGGAGACAAATGTAATTTGATATTTCTTAACAAAACTTTAAGGAGTAAAGTGCTCTGCAATAATATAGAGAATCAATTTGCTTCTTATATTTCTTTCCATACTGCTAATCAGCACAGAGTACAGTGGAAAGTTGGAACCTAAGTCGCACCAACAGTGTGAAGGTCACATGGCAACTTTTTAGCTTTACTTGTGCGGGAAGACCTTCTGTTACCTAGTATGCCTATCAACAAAATATGTATATAAAAACAATGCTCCTCCAAAAATAAATACCTGTCTACAATAATGACTTTTGAAAATTTGACCTTCAAGGTCAAAGTAATAAGGGGGTCAAGGTCATATTTCCAAATGTCAAAAGAGCTCTCATCCACAGAGAACAGATAATGTGTTATTATAAATTCTCTAACTTACAGAACAAAGTTACAAATTACAAATTTTATTTGTTCCCAGACAGATACATATAACATTAATAGACAGGGGGAAAAGAAAGCATTAAGAAATGGCGGTGGATAAAAACTAATTACGTTTAACGATAACAACTTACCTTTTGGTCTTGTTGGAGTTGAACTCTGGCTACCACTCTCAGTTGAGGCCCACTTGTCTTGCGGACGCAATAAAAATGGGCGTGAATCTTTTGGGGCATCAAAAAGTTTAGGTTCCTCCTCCTGGCCACCAGAGGGCTGAAAAAAAATCAGAAAGATATGAGCTGCTTCACAACAAAACCAACATAATGGGTTTGCGGCCAGCATGGATCCAGACCAGCCTGCGCATCCACGCAGTCTGATCAGGATCCATGCTGTTCGCTTACAAACCCTATAGCAAGTAGAGAAACTGACAGCGAACAGCATGGATCCTGATCAGACTGCGCGGATGCGCAGGCTGGTCTGGATCCATGCTGGTCGCAAACCCATTATGTTGGTTTTGTCCTGACGCGGCTCATATGTATGCAATCATTGTTACTTCATGCAAATAAAATTTATATTCGTCACTTACAATTCACTATTGTTTGGGAAAAATTTACTTTGCACCAACACTGTTTAAGACATACGGTGCATTTCAAGCTTCACTAGAAAAGAAGACCTCAGCTGCCCCTCGTGTATTATTTCAGGCACAAAACAACATGAATAGAACCAGTGTCCTATGTTAAGCCGGCTGGATAGTTTTCTCACAAGAAATAATTCAAAGTCACTTGCCGGATTCAAACACCGGTGAGAGGACAAGTGGTTTGATGTTAGTGACCTAAACCACTCAGCCATCAGCAAACAGTATGGTACATATACAGTAAATAGCCCGAGTTACTATGATCGATGAGTGGCACAGATCATTGAAACTATCTAAAGGAGATTTCATTGGCAAATTCCCATGAGAAAAAAAACATGTTTCTGTAAAAAAAATAACATTTTTCCTAACTGTAACATGAAGACTTTAAAGAAAAAATCATTTACACATAACAAGTATTACGCTCACTGTTCAGAAAGGAAGCCAGTCTTCCAGGATTATTTTCATTTGTAATGAATATGTCAATATAATCTTTACTTATTGTTGACTTTATCAAGGAAATGAAGTATTTTGCTAGCCTTGGCATTTTTAAGACCTTCCCAGATAAACAATATATTGTTTTCTATATATTTATTCGGTCAATATGGTGCAAGTGAATACCACAGACACAATGAACCACTAAAACAAGGGGGAGAATATCATATAATTCAATCAAAATAAAAAAATACTTGTTATTGGAAGAGCCAAACAAATGCAATATTAACAATCTTTGCGGAAATTTGATATGTCAAGAGGTTTAACATTGACGATTGTTATGACCACATTGAAATTGGAAAAACTAAACAAAATAACATAGTTTTTCTCCAGTTATAAGAGAAAAATGATTTTTTTACAGACTTTTGGTATACAGTACATAATGCCTTATAAAGTGGGTAACAGTATGTAAGCCAAGTGTTCACTAACACTTTGCCTGCAGACGGCATCTGAATCTAGTCATGCAACCAATGCAGACCAAAATCAACAGACATGTATATGCTGTCTGTTCATGGTCTGCACTGTTTACTATTCATTCTGTACATATTTGAAATTTTACCTAAAACAAATAAATGGTTTTGTCCAGATTGAAAGATGGACAAGTCTATTTATAAAATAAAGCTTGTTAGTTTTGATTATAACTTGTATTATTTGATACCACAAATTAAAGCAGCATGTCTCCAGATTCATGCCAATTTTCATGAAAATTTCAAAAAATGTTTTTAAAAATAAAATATTGTGAAGCGAACATCGAAAATAATTTACACATTGCAAATGGCACTTTTAATTTACGAAAATTACCAAAAGGTCAAAATATGCAAAAATAGCCCATACTGCATTAATCACGCTGTAGAAATCTGGTAATAATTTATGCTAAATCACACATGACATGTAAATCATTATTTGAATCTTGTATCTTTTTACTTTACTTAAAATCTTTGTACATTTTTCTCAAGTTTGATTTTTCTTGAAAATATTTTATCTCATCTGGAGGCATGCTGCTTTAAGACACCGTGGCAAAAATAATGAATATTCATACAAGAACAAAATGGATGGAAAAAAAACAAAACCCAAACTAATAACGCAACGAACAGAAGTAGAACTTCCTGTTTACATTCTTATGTATCTCTATAGCTGCAAAAATTAATCAATGGTTACCCAGCAATCTTGTTAAAACCTCTCGGAAAAATAATCCAATTATATTTTGTTATTAATTAAAATTGTTTACAATTTTCATAGCAAGAATTGTCTCTGTCAAATTAATTTGCTGATTACATCTCCTGCTTTGCATCGGAAGTGCTTTTCAGATGTCATTTTTATTTATTTTCAGCATGTTTTAAATGTTAATGCCTTTTTGTTTCCAATTAATGAATGAGTAAATCAAAAGTTATTATCAATTAATCTGTTCCAATTTTACCATATAAAGAATGACACTATTAACCTTGACCTTAACAACAAGAGATTAACCTTTGCGATCAGTACAGGACCAGGCCAGCCTACATATTCATGATCTGTGCAGCCTGACCTGGATCTATATTTAGAAAATAGATATCAAGTTTGAATGCATTGTAGAATAATGCACAGTTTGAGTTCAAATGCGTAGGAATATAATCATGAAGGTCGACAGGCCAAAATGATTCATTACAAAGAATTTGAACGACAAACCATTCAATATTATACTATTATGCAAGTAAAATAAGTATCTTATTTCCATTCTAACATGCTAATAAAAAAGAGAATTGATAAAAATATGTTGGACTACATTGAGTGTAAAGTAATTTTCCTGACATCATTAAAATATTTTGGTTTATTGACGTAATATGGTGTGTAAGCATTCCTTTTTTTATGCTGTGCATATATTGTGAATAATGCACTTCATTACCCCTTGTTCAATGAAGGAATAGCGTAAAGCTAGTTAGAATGTTGGTTGATATCTTTTTAACATTTCATCTTGGAACTTCTATAATTAGTAACAGACAGTTCTTAAAATCAGACAGGTCCATTTAATAGTTCATTTGCGTTCTCATTACTACAGTCTAAATAATAAAACTGCTTTCTGGCTGTACCAGTGGTAGGAATATATGGCCTGTATGTCTGTATATCATTTAAGGTTTGTTTGTTTGTTTGTTTCATTTTACGCCTTTTCCCAACAGTATTTCAGTCATATAAGCGGGTAGTTTCCTACTCATCGTTCCTGGAGAGTTACACCAGTACTAGACTACTATCCTCTACGCTAAACTACCAAAGCGTCTCCCGGGGATCAACCCACACCATAGAGATGTCACTGGATAAGAAGTCATTGACACTAACCCCTCGACCACGGAGGCAGTTATTTAAGGCACAAACAAGATATCTACTTGGTACGAAGATCAACCTTAACCTTTTTCGTAAGCTAGTTGTATAATATTCCATGCAGACATAACTCCACATCCCACACTTGATTCAAATACAAAAATGTGTGGGATATGTTATTTGCAGTCTGAGCCAAAGTATACTATAAAACAAAATACAAGTATAATTTGAAATTTGAAAACCGAAAGGAGTTTCATTTCTTCTTTATTCTATCTCGTTTATTATAAAGAATAATGAGCCACCTTGTAATTATACAGTTGAACTTTGTTCGCTCGAACTCGGAGGGTCTGTGAAAATTTGTTCGAGAGATCGGTAGTTCGAGCCAACCGAGGTTGAACTATTATTACATAGAACATATGTCTAAAGGTTTTCCAGCTTACATAGGTCAAATGATAAATACGTCAATATAATTGTTGTTAGAACATCTGTTTGTCGAATACGTCATATTAAGAATTATTATTATATTAAAACAAAATTAACGGTACACTGTGTTAATCTATATTCATGCATATTGTAATTGGTTGAGTTCGATTGGGCGATCATTATCCAAACTGTGAACAATGTTCAAAATATATTTATATGTCTATTATGGAATTAATTTTATTTTAAACAATGAATTAATTAAATGAAAAAAAACAACATTTTACAGCAGCATATATTTGTAGTCATTTACTAAAATAAACACGTACAAGTATCATTCTATAAATAGATTACACTGTTACAATTCACGATACATGAACCACGGTTGTAATTAAAGCCGTCCGGGTAAACGTCATTTATTTATTGACTTTTGCGCATTTCAGGAGTTGTTTTCTTTTTATCGTTACTAAAGACGGCAAATATACAATTTTATCATAACAAACAAATCGGTTACAACACCTTTTATTTTGTATCAATTAACCTTAATTGCCTTTGTCAGGATCACGAGGTGTTAAAAACATGTGTCACCGACTGTCAATTATTTAGAACATGTCGACCCACAACTTTTGTTGTCTGTTTGTGTTCGACCGAAAAGGTGTGATTTACACTATATTTCTGCCGAAGGGACCAGAGATCATGTTCGAGAGTTCGAGTGATGGGTGTTCGAGCGATCCGAGGTAGAACAATATATATTACATAGGAATTTTGCCGGGACTGGACGATGAGTTCGAGCGAAAGGAGGTATTCGAGCGATCCGAGTTCGAGCGAACGAAGTTTAACTGTATAAAAAAATATTAATATAAATTCTTTATGTAAATTATTAAAAAAGATTATTATAAATTCTTTATGTAAACTAAGTGTGATAATCTCACTGTATAAAGATAAATTTAAAAATAATTTTTTTTTCATTTATGATAGAGTAACTTTAGAATACTAAAATGCTTATATTCCTACCCATATGACACTAAAAACACTAATAAAACATTTACTACCTGTATCACAATGAGTGCACTTTGAGTGACAGGTTTAGGTGGAAACCAGTTTCCCCTTCCTCTGCCCCTTCCCCTGCCACGGTGGAAACCCCGGCCCCTCCCACGAGCCTGTTGCTGGAAAACTGCCTGCTTAAATTCAAAAGGCACCTCTCCAAAGTCGTTATATCCATAGTCCACCTCTGGATGATGAGCTGGTTCCCCTACCTGCAATACAAGAAAATATTGATACAGTACAGGGTACCAGTGGTCACAGGACAGTTCAGCAATCAGGGCTTGATCACCTTATTGCAATACAAGTAAATATTGACATAGTGGTATCTAAGTACAAGTGGTTACTTGAATTAAAGAACAATCAAGCTTGAGCAGCTGGTTTTAAAGAAAATATTTATTCACAACTGGTTCCAGTGGTAAGGAATGTAAGTCCAACATGAAGTCCTAGTTCTCCTACCTGCTAAACATGTGATGCAGGTCTTTGTAGAATTTCAAAGACAACCTTTGATATGGTAAACTGTAAATTGCAACTTTACTGATTAAAACTTTACACATTTGTATCATGCTGTAAAAGTCCTAAATGTTCAACTACAGCATGCTCGAAAATTTTCTCAGCACCTGATAGCAGCTCTCTAAAAACACACATTATGAAGCCAGAACTGTACCATAATTATGTCAAAACCCATGACAGAGTCATGTTTTCTTGCCTGCAAGTGCAAATGATGGTCATTAATCATTACTGTAAGTTTCAAAGAAATATCTTGATGGGTGACATTAAAAAAAACTAAATAATCAAGGAGTGCATAGTGCATATCCATATTGGTACCCTCTTTGCGACACCTACTGGAACGGTACCCTTTTCGCACATGCACAGGTCATTCTCTGCTAAAAACAGATCAACGATGGATAGGAATGAAATGAATGTTCATAAATGAGATATATCATACGAAAAAGAGATATTACAAGCAAATTTGTTGAATTTATATCCCCCGCCGAGTACTGGTTATTACTAACACAACAACTGAAGACATAAGGCTTTCTTTATATATTTATCATGGCATAAACAGTAATATTCTTTGAACCTGATAAACATTCAGGGCAATAACAGAGCCATAACTCTGTGTTAAATAGTAATATCTGGATATGCCAATGAGATGTATGCATATTGCATAACTAATCAAGGGCCATAAATCTGAGTTATAAGTGTCTGACCGGAACAAGGCGACTATATGCACATCTCCTCTTCGTATCCCATAAAGTTTCATTGAATTCCAGCCAGTAGTTACAGAGAAGTAGCACGGTAACGATTATTGCTCTGGTTGTATACTGCATAAGTTATCAAGGGCCATAACTCTGAGTTAAAATGTCTGACCCCAACAAGGCAATGATATGCGCATCTTCTCTTGGTATTGAAGGTTCCCATAAAGTTTTGTTGAATTCCAGCCAGTAGTTGCAGAGAAGTAGCGCGGAAACGATTTTTGCTCTATATGCATACTGCATAACTAATCAAGAGCCATAACTCTGAGTTAAAGTGTCTGACCCGAACAAGGTGACGATATGCGCATCTCCTCCTGGTATTGAAGTTCCCATAAAGTTTTGTTGAATTCCAGCCAGAAGTTGCAAACAAGTAGCGTGGAAATGATTTTTGCTGTATATGCATACTGCAGAACTAATCAAGGGCCATAACTCTGAGTTAAAATGTCTGACAGGAACAAAGCGATGATATGCGCATATCCTCTTGGTATTGAAGGTTCCTATAAAGTTTTGTTGAAATCCAGCCAGTAGTTGCAGAGAAGTAGCGCAGAAACGATTTTTACTCTATATGCATACTGCATAACTAATCAAGGGCCACAACTCTGAGTTAAAGTGTCGGACCGGAACAAGCCGACGATATGCACATTCCCTCTTAATATTGAAGGTTCCAATAAAGTTTCCTTGAATTCCAGCCAGTAGTTGCAGAGAAATAGCGCGGAAACGATTTTTACTCTATATGCATACTACATAACTAATCAAGGGCCATAACTCTGAGTTAAAGGGCCTGACTGGAACAAGCCAACGATATGCGCATCTCCTTTTAATATTGATGATTCCCATAAAGTTTAGTTGAATTCCAGTAAGTAGTTGCAGAGAACTAGTCCGGAAACGAAATTCGGACGGACGGATGGACGGACCTACTCACAAAATGGTACTTATGTGACTTTTCCTTTGATCTTTTTAGCCATTTTTAGTCACACAAGGCTTAAAAAAAGACACACAAGTAAAAACGGAATGAATAGGATCAAAGAGAATTTACTGATACCCATTGTTCTCCAAGTCACACAAGTACCTCTGGGTTCGTACGGACGGACGGACAACGCCAAAACTATATCCCCCTCCCGATTCCAATGGCGGGGGATAAAAAAGTAACAAGTAAAAGTATTAAATTCCTTTAAGGTTCACCTATTCTTAAATTAAAATTTCTCTTTACAAAAACTAATTGTTTTTCACTATAGTTTTAATAAATTCAAGTTACAAATTGTTTTCTCCAATAAGTGGAACAAGAACTGTGAAAATTTCTGTAAAAATTCTTCTTTTAATATTCTTCTTTTAATTATGATAAACATTCACCATAATACTAAATAAGACATTGACTCTGACTCTCTGATATTTACCAGTTACCCTGACATTGACTTCTTTACATTGAACTTGACCTAGACCTTGAACTTGACCTAGACTAACTTATTCACTTATATTGATGTCAATATTTACAACAATTAAAAATATAAAATTTACTTTACAGAACAAAAACAACAATTCAAAGAACAGTATAAAGTTTCTAGAACAATTATGCGATATAAAATTCCTCATTTCTCACATTTCTAACAAAACATCTATTTTTTTATGTTCAAAATAACAGATTTAATAACCTGATTTTTACAAGTAAAAACCATCGACCCAATGCAACATGACAGTTCCGAAAAACAAAGTGAATATTATTCAAAAACAAAACAACAAAAATTTAATGTAAACAGAAAATTTCAAGCAAACATTTCATATTAAGTTTGCAAAAAAAAATGTTGGCCAACTGTTATTGCCCTTCTCGACTATCATTCAAGGAGACAGCTAATCTGACCAGTAATGAGATGGATGCAATCAATGTTTTCTGTTGTTGGTTTTGGTTGCACTAAAATACAGCACACAACATATGCTGACTTGCCAGCTTTACTGGTGGAAGAACATCTTAGGTGCCCAACTGTGCCTTATTTCGGAGTAGAGTAGAAATCACCAATATTCCATAAGCTAGTATACAAAGTAAACAGGTCTAAACTAGGGGTAAAAAAGGTTGTATTTAATAAGCTATTGTCATGAACAAAGAACACGCAAGTTGCATTAATAAGCCTAATAATTAGGCAATTCTTCACTTTCCAATGGCATAAAATTTAAAGTTAAACACACAATGGTATGACAAAGAGCAAAAACAAATCATACAAAAAATTTTTGTTTTCAAAAAGTATAAGCTGCACAAAATGACAAATGTTGACAGACTTTTTACAAGATGTTGATAGAATAAGTATCATCCATATAGCATAAGTTTTAAAATAGACTTGAACAGACCAGATCAGCCAGCACATTCTTACTGTCTGATCATGGTTACCACGGTTTTCCTTAAAACAAGTAATGGTTTTGATTAGATTGAACATTGGAAAAGTCCATTTAAGATATTTTACAAGGTAATAAAGGGTTACTGAGATTAATGTTCCAAAACACTTATATTGAGCTATCAATACTGAAAGAGTACTGCGAGTCTGATTGCACTGTTGTTGAGATTGCAGTATTCTGCTCTGGCATAGACAGACGGTCAAATCCCTGTTAAATGCCCCAGCACTGTGACATATCTTTGCTATTTTTGCAAAAAAAATCAAAACCTTTTACTCCCACAGAGCAGAATACAGATGGAACATAAACACTTTGACCCCAATTATCTGGCGTCCCTGCTCTAAGTGCCTGAAAGGGTGGATGGACCTTCATTCAGCATAGAATATACACACACAGCACTCAGCTATCTTCCCTTATGTACATGTTTCCCTATTATGGCATCAAAGATTTACATACTTAAACATTCTCTACAGCAGCATCAATAAAAACAAAGAACCACTGCTGATAAATCTCAAATAAACAATGACAATGCATTACATCAGCAGGATCCTTTATATTCCAAGGACAAATCGTAACAATAACCATAAAATATGCAGCAGTTAGTTGCAACCTTTAACTGAAATTTTACTTCATATTATCTTTATTACAGTAATCAAGACGGAAGGCCTTTTTTTTTATACATTTAGGTACCTTAAATAACTGCTACAACAAGTTCTTAAAGCTGCATGTGTCCAGACAAGCCAAAAGATTTTAAGAAAATCAACCTTGAGAAAATTGTATTAAGATTTGAAGAAAAGTAAAATATTCAAAATTTAAGAAATAATTTATATGTTGCATGCAATAAATAACTGTTATCACAGTATTTATCACCATATTTCTAGTGTGTATCTAATTCAGTATGGGCTATTTTTGCATATTTGGCCCTATTTTGGTAATTTTCCTAGATTATGATTAATTAAGTGCAGTTTGCAATGTGTAAATTACTTTATTAGTTCACTTGACAATATTTTACTACTTAAGAAATTTTCAAAATTTTCATGAAAATCAGCATGAATCTAAAATTTGTTTGTTTGCTTTTACAGCTCACCAACACAGTTTAGGTCATAAGGCGTCAAAACAGGAAAGATGTTTTTTGGCTATGTAACCTTCGGTGTTACAAACTTCAAAACAACATCTGGGGTCAAAATCACCACACCTGCTGGAGCTAAGAGATGCATAGACTCCAGTTATTCAAACCCATTTAGTCGCCTCAAGTTGGCTTCAATTATGATGTCTCAACTATTAAAGGCCCATTATGCCTTAGAAATGCTATATAATTTTTATTTCTCAAAAACTTTAAATTTTTGGTATCTTGTTACAGTTTCAAAAAAAAATTCGAATTTGCCATATACATGAATTATCTTGACTCATTTTGCTTTGTTGGCAGTTAAAGTATGATTACTGTGAATACATATGAGCCGCGCCATGACAAAACCAACGTAATGCGTTTGCGACCAGCATGGATCCAGACCAGCCTGTACATCCGCGCAGTCTGATCAGGATCCATGCTGTTCGCTATCAGTTTCTCTACCTGTTAT